GATTATTAGCATATTTTTAATATGCTAATAATCAGTTTTTGAAAAAAACATGTTCTTGAAAAAAGTTTACTTTTTAATAGAGCATTCAAAAGTGGTTTTTTTTTAACCTCCGATGGTACATGAAACAAAGACAAGTGTAAATAACAAAATGAATTTAATACCAAAAGTTAGATACAAACATGGTTATTTTTCGACATAATCACTGTGAAGATTGAGGCATTTGTCTATCTGTAGATGTGCTTTGCAATCTTTTCTTCATAGAATGTTGCCACCAGTGACTTGAGATGAGCCTTAATGTTGTTTTGAAGATCGTCATTAGTCTCGAACCTCTGCCCTCTTAGCCACTTTTTCTGTTCAGGAAAGAGGTGGAAGTTGCTCGGTGCTAAATCAGGGCTGTATGCTGGTTGTTTAAAGGTGGTGAAGACTTCCACCTAGCTTGGAACTTTCTAAACACCTAGCATATAGCCCCGATTTAGTGCAGAGCCATTTCCACCTTTTTCCTTAACTGAAAATGTGGATAGGAGGGCAATGGTTTGAGACTAATGACAATCTTCAAAACAACGTTCAGGCCCATCTCAAGTCACTGGCAGCAGCATTCTATAAAGAGGGGATTGCAAAGCTTGTCACAGATATGACAAATGCCTTAATCTTCATGGTGACTATGTCGAAAGTAATCATGTTTGTACCTAACTTTTGATAATAAATTAATTTTATTATTTACACTTGTCTTTTTTTTATGGACCATTGGAGGTTGAAAAAACTGCTCTTGTATATAACATTTTGAATCAAACCCAAGTTTTATATATATATATAACTTGGATTTGATTTGAAATGTTCATGCTTCCTTTGTCTCACCTTGAAGGGAAGATATCAGAGACTTTCTTTTTACAACAATAAAAAGGTCAGTCAAATTCACAAACCAGACGAGACGTTACTGAATTTCCATAAAAACGTTTATATTACGAGTAAAATGTATGTACAGTTACGAAAGTTCACAAACAAAACAATTACAATACTTCAGGTGTAACAAAGTTCAAATACTTTTAAGTCACGACAACAGGTCTGTTGAAAAGGACACCTTGCAACAAACTCCTTCCTCCCCTGAGGAAAGGTCCTTAACCAGTCTGTGAGCCAAAACAACTCCTTCAGCGAGTCTGCTGAAACTCTTAATGACGGACTATAATGTGCTTTTGCTGACTCCTGGTCAACACGAGTTCTCTTAGCAGGTCGTAGGCAGAATCTAAAAATCCCACTTAAACTTAGTTCTTATATACAGATTGGAATGAAGGCAAATCCACCAATCAACACCTAGTAGCTCTAATGGAGGTCCACAGGTTGTACAATGTCTTTCAGCCAATCCTCGGTCGAGTTTCCAAAGTCGCCTGATCGGCGTTCTCATGGTGACAACTGTCGTTTGTTTGAAAAGATGGAAAAGCATGGGAAATCGTATGTCGGACGATTTTATCCCGACAAGGTCTCTTAAAAATATTTAAACTTTTATTCTTATCTTTGAAATCTACAAATCTTTGCACTATTATGATAAGAAAAGTCTTTCAACACTGCTTGTTGTAGTAAATAACAAGCAATTATTTATTGTGACATTGTCACAATGCTGGCTGCAATTTTGAATCATATTTTTAATTTATTTAAAATATATGCTCTCCATCTCAAATTAGTAGTGTCTTTCCCATGTACATAATACTTTTCCTGTTAGCAACAGAGTCATGCTGATCATCTATCTAACTCCTTTCAGGGGAAAATGTTTGAATTCAAATAACATGACTTCTGGTTTGCACTGGAAGTTTGTATATAGTAAATTGTGGCCTCCTGCCTCTAATTCCTGTTCTTGGCTTTCATCTGCCTAATTCAATTCTTGAGATTAAGGAAGGACAGATGACTGGGAATTTATAGGTCTACAATTTTTTCAAATTGCAGCCCAATAATAACAACTGGATACTGATAATTAATAATATCAATTTTGAAAAAAAATCGTTAATAAAATAATTAAAGGCACTAGATAATTATATGTTGATAAAATTACTCCATAGCTCATTCTTTGCATTATCACATTAAATTATTGTTAAATAAATAATTTTTCCATAATCTATGATCTAAATGTAATGGTTTGGCTAATTTAAAAAAATGCTGTTTCATCAATACTTTTGATGCATTTATTTTTAAATAATTTTAAATTTATTGCTTTGAAGATTTGTTACAATTTTACAACTTGTTTTAACAAGAACAGGTTGTAAAATTGAAGATAAATTAAAAGAAAGTCAAAAATGTTTTTGTGAATGAAATAGCTGATTGTCATAACAAGTGGGGCTGAAGGACTTTTCTTTTTATTCTTATCAATTTTTTTATTAGAATTACATTTTTCAAGGTATTGATTTGTAACACATTACATGAAATATCCTGTATATCAGCATTTTCATACATGCTTCATTTAGTGTTGGATAAATTTATTGGAACTGTGAGGATGTAAAAAAAAAGAATGAATAAACTTATTCATCTGCAAATCAATTTTCTAATAGTAGCTACTTCATGGTATACATCGGGGTGTCTGACCTTTTCCTGAAGAGGGATCATGAGAGCTGTCAAAGACAAATCTGGGGGCCAGGTATTGAAATTCATTTTTATGTCAGCAAACTGCTGACAATAAAAAAGAATAAAAAAATTGCATATGCTTACACTAGTGACCTTATATCTCAAATCAAAGCATAGACTCTTGACTTTTTATTACATTTTTAATTTCCTCATCTCATATTATGTAAAATGACAAAGTTAAACCAAAATTGACTAATTAAATTTTTGAGAATGAACTCAGTTCTATAAGCCACATAGAAGAGGCTTTTGCTAATGCTCCACCTCAAAAATAAATAGATAATAAAATCTGTTCAGGATAATGAGGGTACATAAGTGTTTTTCATCTTTGATATAATTATTCCAAATGAATATATACAGTAGAATCATTATTATAACGTAAAGTTGGCAGTTTTTAGAAAACTAATTATATAATTATAATTAGAAAATGAAAAATTTAGTTATAAAATTAATAAATGTTAAAAAGGTAGAATTTAAAATACTGTATTAAAAAAAAATTTTTTTTTATAGGCTCCTGGAGATCATGAACTTCAGTGTGATTACTGGGAATTAATTGGCTTGTCTCCAGCTGGAGGAATTGATAATATTTTGAATGAAGTATGGAATAAATAAATGCTTTTATAAAAATAAATAATGTATTAATATGAAAATCAATTTAATTAGATATAAATTTTAAGTTATAAGTATTTAACTTTTCTTTTGTAATTTATATTATATATAGTTGAAATTAACATTTATTTCAGTTTTACATTCAGTTGTAATTCAGTTAAATAAATATGTTAGATTTAGCTCTTATATTTAAAATTGAATTTTGCCGCTGACATTAAACTTCCACTCTAAACTTCTTTTCATTTTATATTAAATTCTGAGTAAAATAGATGCATTAAGTAGTGACATGGTAAAAGCATATATAAAATGTTGATACAAAGTTGATTTATTTCTTGGCCATATCAATCCATTAAAAATTATTTAAATAGAAAGAACATTGTGGAATCATTCTGTTCCAGAACTTTCTATCTAGTGAATTTCATTCTTTTGTTTTGTGTTCAGTTACTCTTTTTTTGTTATTAATACTGCTTGTTCTGTAGAGAGTCATCTGTTACTAACTATACATCAACAACATAGTGAGGAGTAGAGTCCCATGTGTATCTTTTGTAATCCATCCTGGATATTTTGCTCTTTGTATTTTTTTAAATTTATAATAATTGTAAACAATATTAGATTTATATATTATTCACAATTATTAAATCTCTATATCAAGAATTTTAATAAAAAGTAATTGATAGTAAGACCAAAAATGTTATAATTTAAGATATATAGAGAAAATTAATAATAATAATAAATATCTTTAAAAACTGGCAACTCTGTGCTTAATGTTAATGATTTGCACATTATTTTATTTTGTAAGTGTCAATAGTTGAATTTTAATATCTCATGCCATGTGAAATATTTTATTTTACTGGTAGCATACTTAATGTTTCCTTTTAATTGTATCATTTTATTTTGTTGAAGAAACTGCTTAAATACAGACTTTTTACGTAACAATCAATAACATAGTCAATAAGTCAATATGTGTAAATGAGTGATGAGTGTAATATATGTATGTGACTGGAGGTCAGCACCTCTTTGGTGCCTCGTCAGGACTGATACCACTGTGTCTTGTGTGACATGGAAGCCACGATGGCAAAATTGGTTTGGGTGAAAAAGTAGGTCACGCAAGCAGCCATGTATAGTATGATCAGATTTGAATGGAGACGAGTGAGATTGCGTTTAAAGCAAGACACTCAGATACTAGGTTAAAAAACCAAATACCTGTTTATTTTTCGTACTAGATCTAAAGGCTAATGGTAGCAAGACAATTAGACATTGGATATAAGAGTGACATGGCTGCATTCACGTTTGTGAGAGAGAGAGAGAGTTCATGTGAAATTCCGGTTATAATACTTGCATTGATGGTGATGCTTCTTGATTTGGGTTTCATGAGGATTTGGATTTCTAGGGTCTTGAGGTTGTCCAGATTTGGATTGTTTGGGACAGGTCTGGATTGGGAAAGTTCTTCTAGGCACAGTTGAGAGTAATGTGAAAATCCGATAGAGTATGATTGGCACTGACACAGGAAAGTTTTGATGAGTTTAATCCTTAAGGGACTGNGAGTGATTTTTAACATAAACAGGAAATTGTCATAATTCGAACTTGGATAGTTTGAAGTCCTGTTAGTTTGTAACTGTACTTTTGTCCCAGACAAGGATATAGAGATTTACACATTAAGGAATTTGGTTTGTTTGAAATATGGCTACTTCAAAATTTGAAGTGAAAATTCTGTCCAAACTGTGATATGCATATGTTAACTTATTCATTTAGATTGAAGTGCTCCACACTGTAAGAGAGCAATATATTGATACTAAGAACAACTCTAAACTGGTTAATATGGCTTTGCTTTTACAATAACACATTTTTGGGTGTCACCCTTTATTCTCTTATCTCATAAAATACAGCTGATTTTTGGTATTGCAAGATTGGGCTACAAGTAATAGATTAAGCTATTTGTAGCACTCTGAGCTACTACATTTGGATGACTTACTACTTTTTTGGGCCTTTTAAAATATAATTTGAGCTTCATTTTGAGGAATTATACTTTATAAAACCTATCTGGCAACCTGTGAGTTCTCACTGGACACATGCTGTTTACCTTTACACTTATATTATTATCATTATTAATTAATTAATTAATTAATTAACAAAAATAGCATTCTGTGTATATAGCTATATTTGTATTCTGTTTGCTTAATAAATTATATCAGCTATGTCACATTTGTCATATTGTACAGATATATGTAAATTTTAGATAATTCAAAGTCATGATTATTTTATCCCTTGAATTTTGAACTGACAAGGATTTCCTATAAAAATAAATCATTTATTATAATAATAGTTGAAAGTTTAGTTTTCTGGAAATTTCTGAAAATAAAACATTGGCAGATTCTATCTAAAAATAATTTATTGCCTGAGCAAGCAGTGAGCTCAGGCTTCTGGGATGACTTTTGCAGTTTCGTTTCAGAGTTTTAAAAAATTCCCATGGGAGATTTTGATGATTTTGGTGTCAAAATGCTCAGTGGAATCTTGGCATATGCATAAAATAATTTCTGGATAATATAATTAACTCTGAGATAAGATATAATCAAAAAATAAAAATGTTGGCTTTTACCTCTTTGACGCTTAATAACAAAAAATATTTTGACATTTTTGGGTGTTGTTTTTTGGAATATAAAGCCAGAGAGTTGCTTCATATTTTTGCTGAGTTTGGTGAATTTAGGTTGAACTATGGAAAAGTTATCCAAGTTCAAAGAAAAGGGAACCAGATTTATATCCTATGTGGATGGTCCCCACATGCTGCACTTGCTTTCACTGTTACGGTGTCTGTAGTGGCAGTAGTACTGTCTCATCCTCACTAGATGGCACCTTTTACTAGCTCTGATAAGGGGGGGATACAATTCCCTCAGTTGAGACTGGATAAAATCTCAAACGTGGGTTGTTTTAACAAGTGACTCCAATTTATTGAAGACTTTTCCCACTTAAATGCAAAATAATTTTATTTTATTATTATTTTTTTATTGTTTAGTTTAGTTTAGTTTAGTTTAGTTTAGTGTCTTGTAATTTTTTTAGTATTACACTTTGTTTTTATCTGTACTTTTCATCATATTTTTTTCTTATATCAACAATAAATCATTTATAATCTTTTATTTGAGACATGTTACTGCTCAAACTGCTTGCCCAGGCTTACTACATGAGAAACATCATTTCCAGTTTCTCAATGTAACTTACTTTACTAGTATAATTTTTAAATATATAGAATGCTTTTTAAATCTTTTAATAAAAAAAATTATATTTAACCTTTCAGGAATCCCATGTAGATGTACAGTTAGATAATCGCCACATGATGTTACGTGGAGAAACAGTAAGACAAATTTATATTTTTTATTTTTAGTTTACATTATTTACTAAATTTTTAATATATACTACAAGTTTTAATTAATAGAATGAAGAAATAAAACTTTAAATGTTTTAAAATATGTTACTGTAATATTTAGCTGTGATTATTTTAGTTGTAGAAATGTTTTTTAATTTTAATCTGAACATTTTATTTTGTACAAAAAAATTTATAGAAAATGCTTAAAAATGTATAGAATAAAAAAAACTACACTACATCCAAATTCTTTTTATCATTAATTTGTAGATACTGTAGAAATACTAGAGAATAAATTTCAGAAATAAAATAAAATTTTTATGAAAATTTTTAAAATAACTTTTCTTCTAGATGTGATTTTTTTAATTCAAACTATATATATAAATCACTTTGTCACAGTGTTACATATCCACTTTCTATTATTGAAAATAAATTTGTTCTGTGTTCCAATTGTTTAATGTAAATTGTTTTAAAAATGTTAATTTTGATTTATGTAATTGATAAATTAAAGACAGGATTAGATTTTTTTTTTCATTTCTACAGAAAAAATTCTCTAAACTCTAAGCTAAATTTCCAATATTGGGCTGCAATTTGAAAAAATTGTAGAACTATAAATTCCCACTTTCATCCGTCTATCTGTCCTTTAATCTCAAGAATGGAGTTAGATAGATGAAAGTTAAGACCAGTTATGGAAAGCATAGGGGAAGGAGACCCCAATTAACTTTGTTTGAATATAGTTAATGCAAATAGTTTTCCCTGAAAGGAGTTAGATAGATGACTGGCATGACTGTTGCTATCAAGAAAAGTATGATGTACTGTACAGAGGCAAGACACTACTACTTTGAGGTGGAGATCATCTATATTAAATTAAATATGATTAAAAATTGCAGCTTGGTATTGTGACAATGTCACAATAATTTATTATATGTTTTATGTAAAGAGAGGTTGTCTGGCAGTAATTTACTGGCTGTATTGATACATAACTATATTCAAAACTTGACATCAGTTTTATGCTATAAAGGGATTCTCAATAGGCAATATGATAAGATAAAAGAACAAATAACTTTCACTACTTCAAATGAAATATATTTTTAGAGTAAAAATTCAATAAATTTAGATATTCTTTTCAAATTTTTCAAGTTATAAGGATTTTAGTTTTTTTTAACTAAAATTTGTATTGTATTTTAAAATTTTGTAAAATAAGGTTCTGTTTTTTAACATGACAATGTACTTCAACAAAAAATAAGTTTGTCTTATCTTTTTAAAAGTTGATCCAATTTACTTGTAGATATTGTTTTGTATTCTGATGAAAGAATACTACATCAGGATAAATATAAAATAATCTTTATTAAGTCTCAATTACAATAAGTTTTGTATAGATAGTGACTGACTATATATATATATACAGTCTAACCCGATTATAACATTATCCACGGGACCAGCAATCAGCAATTTTTTGACGTTATAGCAGTGTGTTGTTATCTGCAGGGTCATAATTTCAGTCCCATAAAAAGTACCAAGTGTGTTTAAGAATCTATTATAAAATCCTTTCTAATTTAACATCATATGTATTACCATAAAATTATTTCTTAATGGTAATATAGTGTACTGTATCTATTATGTTAATAATAATTTATTATCATATGTATAAAAGTGCAAACTAAATGTTTAAATCAACTTTATTTACATTATTATGTTTAAGTTTACATCGATGTAATTAAAAATTTCAAAAATTACCTTTTATAAGAAATTTCTATTTGTCGTAAGTTTCGATAATGGTGGCACTTCCGGTTTTGAGAATAATATTGAATCAAAAGGCAACAAAAGGTAAACTAATGTATGCCAATTAAAAAGACACAATAACAGTATTCAGTTAAAAAAGTCAGTTATTTTAGATTGTAGGTGTTTTTCACCTAAAAATTGTTTATCAATGTCGTTTTCTAAATTATACATTTTATTTATTATTTTTTATGAAGTTTTCTGAGACCTGTAAAACATTTTAAATAATCTTATTGCTTCCCTGGTTGACGGCACTTCGTTTTCTCTATTTGATGTTTTATCATCATCATCCTCAATTTTTTGGTTTGAAGATTTAATTTGCTCAACAATATCTGCATCTGTATAAAATAACATGAGTAACTATGCAGACTGACCGATCGTCACTTCATTTAAAGATGTGACCACTGAAGTCAGGTAGTGAAAGTACCACCCACAGTCATTCTAAGAAGTGGATTCTGACCCTAGAAACTGAACACAGTATATGTACTGTATTGTATTTTCATTGTTAAATAAAATGCGTAATCTAATTTTGTAAATCTGGGAGTGCTTTAAATATGATGTTAAAACAGGATTTTATGTCGTTACAAGTGGGTTTTTTAACATTATCTAGTATGGGACTGATAAAAATTTGACATTATATTAGGGTATATATATATACCCTAATATATATATATGTATATATGTATATAGTCACTTCAGCATAATATGCAATCGTACTTGTTTCACAAAACATTTCATTGAAAATGAATGAATGTATGTATTAATTTCAACCAAAACACAGTAAATTTAAGTACATTTCTAGATTTATGTTATTAAATAATAAAAGTGATAGTTAAATCCATAGATATATACAATTGATTAGAACATTGGATTTTGATCACAGATGATAGAAATGATTAATTTTATACTTGTTGAATAAATAAGTAATTTTTGAATATACAGTGGTGCCTCATATAACATACTTAATCCGTTCCAGGTGCATGTCCGTTAAGTGAAAAGTCCATTATACAAAACGCATTTTCTTATAGAAATACATGTTAAAACATATAATTTGTTCTGCAGCATAAAATAACTGTACTGTATCATAAAAAAATGAAAATGGAGCAGTCACCAATTATGCTGGTTAGTCAGATGTTGTGAGGAGGAGGAGGAGGAACACTTTTTTCACACATTCATACAGATACAGACTTTCTACACATTGCAGCAGGTCTCTTTTTATTGTTTTTTAACTTAGGAGAGGCTAGAGCTTTTAGGAAGAGAGATTTAGGAGAGGCTACCAGAGCTTGCAGAGTCAACTCCTCTTGTTCCATCCTTTGTTTTTTGGCGGCTTCTTGAAAAACATGTCTAAGATGGTCTGTTTCTCTCTCTTCTTCAACACCTGTCGGAAATGACAGGTAAGAGTGTCATTGTAGAGATCATCGATCCTGTTGGCGTCATCTCTGTTTGGATAATGAGTGTTGGTAAACTCCTGAACCTCTCTCCATTTGACAAGGAAGTTTTTGTCAACTTTCACTCCTTCTGATGATTTCTTGCTTTGTTTCAATTGAAATCACCTTTCTGTTTTTTTAGAAGCCATGATTTGCACAACACTTGAATAAATGTAAATACTCTGCACTAAGGTGTTGTATTGTATGTAATAAACTATGGAGCAAGCCGAATCCCAACGGGCGCTCTGTACTTCAGATATACTAATAATATATTCTAATAATACTAATATATTATAAAAATAGCAGATTGTCATTGCCAATGCACTTCTTCGCAGAAAGTCCGTTGTTCGCAACGTCTGTTATTCAAGGCGTACATTATACGAGGCACCACTGTATATGCTATTTCAATAACAGATTATACTATATTCCTTCATCAAATAATTATTAATGATACAGTATGAAATTCTTGAAAGAACAATTGATTTTATAACTGTCGATGAACACTTAATATTATGTCCACAGTTCCTAGCAAAAATATTTTATTATCTAGGATGTGGCATTAAGTTTTGCTTAATATCACAATTGATGATATAAACCAAGTATTTTATAATTATAGCTATACTTGTCTTTATACAACAAAGTAATTTTTTTTCAGATTTTTTTCAGCCATTTATTGAGTTTTAATTGCATTTTTTAAAATGTTACACTGCACATGTTGCTTTGACTGGGTAAAATGTTGTCATTCTTGCTTCCCTTTATGTGACAAAAATATTTCTCAGAATATTTAAATTTTCTAATGCCATAGCACTCGTAATATTATTGTTTTCTTTGTAATTGCTATCATCATGCAATGTCAGTGTAACAAATGTCATCATATTTATTTGTCACTATATTTGAAATCATTTTATCTTTATTTAATGTCTCAACACATTCAACATCTTTATCAATATCTTCAAAATTTATCAAAATTAAAATCAAGTTTGCAGTCATTATTAACAATTCCATCTTTCTTTTTACATTGATTAATCAACCATTGTCAGCCACAAAACTACAAATATTAATTTGAAGATTCTGAGCAAACTTTTCTGCTTTTTGTACATTTTGTACATAAACTCTCTCCGTAATTGTAATATTAGTAGCCAAAGCCCCAAAAACTATTGATGTAATATAGTATCAACATCTAACTTACTATGTTATCTTTTTTTGTTTATTTAACTGCTTGAAAAAAACCCTATTTCTTGCAGTTTTTCTTTACATTTGTAAATTTTACACACATTTCCATCAACTGTATGTAAAATTTATGTATGAAAAATTCATCACAAGTGGCAATGATTTTTAAGTTTTTTTTCATACTTAATTTGGTACATTTTTGGTTTTCTGCCATCAAATATTTGTATTATGTTTAATATATTTTAGGTGCTTGAGTTTTGCACTGACATTTAATCAAAAGAAATATTTAAAATGATAAATAGAAAGATCTTCACTATACACATGGTTGATTCTGGTCTCTATTCATTCCATATTATGCTCAATCCTAACAAAAAAATGAATCATAATCTGCTTTTATATACAAATTTGATAACAATATTTATTATCTTCTGTGTGATGTTTTTGTGATATAAAGTGAAGTCTGGATATTAAATGAAATAATGTAAATTTATCTTTTAATGTTTTGTATATAAAATTAGAATTGCTTTTTTGAACAATGACACTAAGTAAGTATTGCTATTAGATGAGGTGATAATGGATGTGTTCAACTGTTTAATTTTGTTAATTTAAAATAGCTACTTTAATTTTACATTCTAAAATAATTTATTCCATTAGAAATATATTTTAAAATTAGTTTAGTCTATTAAGAACTTTTAAAATAATTTCTAATTTTATAAATTTATTTTTTTTTTAAATCTTATATATTATCACAATAATAATTATTTTCATTTTATATCTTTAATTTTAGCTTTCAAAAATTATGGCATTTCGTTCCACGGTGATTCAGTGTTTCCGTGATCATTACTTTAGTCGAGGCTATCGTGAAGTTACACCACCTACACTTGTTCAAGCTCAAGTTGAAGGTGGTTCAACTTTATTTAAATTGGATTATTTTGGACAAGAGGTAATTGAAAAGATTTTACACATTTAAATTATTATATGTAATATGGCATTTTTTAATCAATCATAAAATATTTTATTTTAGCATTAAGATAAAAATTCAAATATGTTTGAATCATTGTTACAAAATGGATCCAATTTTCATGGTTTTTTTAATTTGTAACTCTTGTCAACTTTATTTTTGTGTGTAAAGCTAAAGTTGTAAGATATATTTAATGGTAGGTAGACCATTATATGTGATTTAAAATAGTTCCAATGGAACTAATGCAAAAGAAAGCAGTAGAAACAGCAAACTTGAAAATTAAAAAGCAGTTATTTACATAAATTATTGATATGGAAAGAAATGATACAAAATTAATATCAGAAGTGTAGGAAAATAAGTGAAAAGATAAAAGTTAAATTAAAGTAGTTCATGAATCAAAAGTCTGAATGAAAATAGAAAGAGCATTTATTAATATAATATAAATATTTGTATAAAATAGAGTGAAGTATTGTAAAACAAAAACAAAATTATTTGGAGATCTTTAAAAACAATTGGAATATTAGGTTTAGAATAAGTTACTGTGGATTATTTGATTTTCAGTATGTTGTTATAGCAATAGATTGATCTGTTCTTTGGAATAGGGAATACAGTGGTACCTCAGGTTACGAACGCCCCAGCATACGAAATTTTCAGGATGTGACGTGAAATTTGAACATATTTTTGCTCCACGATACGAACAAAAACTCACCATACAACGTTACATTAGTTCGCATTTTTCATTTGTTTTTCTTACTACAGTTATTTTTTTTAATGTATTACTTGGCTTTAATTTGAGTATGTTTTTCGCGTTGGAACTAATTATTTGGTTTTTCATGTAACCGTATGGGAAAAGATGATCCACCTTACAACATTTTCATGATACGATCTCAGTTTCGGAACGGATTAATTTCGTATCCTGAGGTACCACTGTAAATATAAATTTAACTCACTGAGTATATAATGTATATTAAATTAAAACATTTCAGTTCAGTTTTGAATTCCTTGAAGAAAGTTCAGAAAAGTTTGATCTGACTGTTAATATTTAGATATTTGTCAGCATTTAAGAATCCAAAAGATTTTATTTAATGTAGAAATTTGCTAATTTATCATTGGTTGCATAAATGAATTAGAGTGATGAACAACTTTTGTTTCAAATTAAACAATTAATCTTATTGATCAGAATAAAAAGTTTAAATTCTTAGCCCTAGAACAATTTAATATTAAGAGTAAAACTGAGTTACATGGAAATAATAGCAACAGAGTTAGTACAACATAATTTTTCCATTTATCTTTTAGCATATGAAGTAATTAGCATTTTTACATTGTGTTGTAAAGACATTATGATGATGATTGAACTTCTGTCTAATTCTTTGCTAGTTACTTGAAGAATTCAGACTTCTAGGTGATGCAGTATAGTGCTGCATCACCTAGCTAAAATTTGCTGCTTTTTCTGAAGTGGATGATAATACACAAAGAAGCAAGTGTGTGTTTCTCTCAGTAATTTTTTTTTAATATAAGGTATCATCTATTAAATTGTGTAAAAAGTTGAACTGATCATTGTTTAGTCAAATGAATATGTGAAATCTTTCATTGTTATCATTCAGTTTTTTTAGTGCAACCATAGAATTTGTTAAATCATTGTATTAATATTATTTACTATTTGTATTTCCTTTGTAGTTATTAATAATATATAATTACTGTTTATGTTGTTAGACAAAAACTTCTTATCATGATAATTAATAAAATTGCATCTCATCTCATATATATTTTGACAATTTTGATCTGAGTAATATCAAGCTGCTTTCATTAAAAATTTATAAATTATTTAATAAAATGATGTATTATTTTCTAACTTCTGTGCTGTTTGGTGTATCTTAAAGATGACTTCTTAGATTACCAAAGAGATTATTAAAGAATAATTTTTATGGTAAAGGTTTGAGTGGTTAAAAAAGTCAAAACCTTTTACATGACATGCTGTTAATGAAATAAAGATATGAGTTTGATGAAGGTATTTTGGTACAAAATTAAAGTTTTCAGTGAATTGATGTTTAAGTTTTTATTATGTAAATATTTTAATATAACTATATCCATAAAATGTGTTTTGCAGAGAGTATTACAGTACTGATTAATTTCTGAGATCTTTCATGTGTGAGAGATGGATATATTACACCTTCATTCATGCAGGACAATTGGGTTTTGAATGATTATAACATAACACCTTCATCCACTCATGTCTTCAAATGCTAATTTTAGTTAAGATGTAATTGTTTTTACAGATTGGGCCAAAAAAAAAAAGACTTAAAAATCATAACTTATAATGATTGATCAGTTGTATAATGGGTCAAAATGTCCTAAACTATTTCTTGAAATATCTGAAACTATAATATTTATAAAATCTACTAAAATCTAATAAAATCTTATCTAAAATTTATATAAAATCTACATAATATTTTTCATCAATTGGAATTATTCTTTTTTGAATTATTTTTATCAATCATATCCTGTGATTGACCAGATTTTAAAAAAATATTTTTGATATCCAACTATGCTTAATGAATTTACAGTTTGTGTGAGCTCTTGTCTTTTGGTATAATTTAAAAACTATTTTTGCTTTAAAATTTTTAACAATAATCTATAACAGTATAAATTCACTTCTGCATTTGAATATAATGTTTCAATTTATATTATAATTTATTTACTAAGCGTTAATTTTTAATTTTTTTATTTCTTTTCTATTATATTTACATGATATTAATATTTCAATATTATTATTAATACATTAAGTATATCTGTGTTGTTTTTGAAACTGTATTTTGCGAATATATTGGACTTCGAACTCACATTTGAGTTATAAATAAACACTTGGCTTTATTTCCATCATTTTTAGTTGATACATGACAACAGCACATTTCAGGCATAAAGCCCCTCATCAGTCAACTTGTATTTTCTCGAAAATGATGGAAATAAAGCCAAGTGTTTATTTATAACTCAAATATATCTGTGTTATTAATTTGTAATTTGATAATTTAATTCAATTTCATTTGTTTATTTCATATTAAATTTAAGTTTTACATGCACCATTCATTTTCATTAGATGTGTATGGAATCCGTTGCATGTAAATTACCTTAAAAAATAAAATTTTTCTTAATTTTTAAAATAAATTTTCTCATTTTATATCATTTTATAATGGTCAAAACTGTTGAAACTTCATTAATTCTAATACATGATTTATAGTCCTGGCAAGTGATTTAGTAGGTAGTGATTTTAAATTTATAAGTTTAATATAAATTCACATATCTATAAATTGTGTTTTATGAAAATTGCTTTTAGAATTATGTATATTCTTCAAGTTTTAATAGCCTTAATTTAAATTTTTAGAAAATTAACTTTTTAAAATTTAATATGAAATAATTATGTGATTTAATAATGTATAATTTTTGTTTTGAAATTTTTAGGCATATCTGACTCAGTCTTCCCAGTTATATCTTGAAACTGTCATTCCTAGTTTAGGTGATGTCTTTTGCATTGCGCAATCATACAGAGCTGAACAGTCTCGCACTCGAAGACACGTAGCCGAGTAAGTAACGCAATTTATTTTATTCAATAATTAATGAAGAAATAATTTTCATTTGGATAATTTCAGATTAATTTATAGCTAAGTTTGATTATTTTTCTTTTCAATCAATTCTTGTTGGTTTGTCCTTTATATAAATTATTATTCTTATACCAAATTAGACCAAGGTTTGTATGAATATAACTTAGACCCTGAAATTAACACTAAGCTATATATTACCACAAATTATTGGAGTACTGTATAGATTCTGCATCATTTGCATGTAGCACCATCTGTTGGAAAAAATAATAAACAAATGCTAATTGTTGTTGGTTTTTTTTTATTCTTGATAATAGATTGTTGGTTTGCCTGACAACACTTGCTGAGTGGCTTAATGCCTGCCTAAAGGCATTATTACTGTGGAATCATGTTAAAAACTTGTTCCTTTAGATGAGGGGCTGTATAGATGATTGAGAATGATTTTTGTCCTGCAAGAACAAGCATTTTTTTTTAATTTCTTTACTTTTTTTTTTACAGTTTCATTATTATAAATACTCAGGTCAATAAATACATGTTTTAGTTATTAGGACCAATGTTTTTATCACACACTCTCAATTCCACACCCCTCAAAAACCCAAGCAATGCAGAGCATATGTTGCTAGATTCTGATAAAAAATAAAATAAAATAAAATAACTTTTTTGGAGGCCATATTTATATAAAAAACATTTATTTTCAAATCTAAATTTTTTTTTTATTATGTTGTTCTCAAAGATGATATTGTGGAAATTTTGTAAGTTTTAATTGTATTTTAACACTAAAAAATTAATTTTTATTAGATATGTATTAGTTTGCTTTAACATATAAGGTGACACAGATTACNTCTGTACTGAAAGAATATACTGTGGTATTTTTCTTCAGTATAGAAATATCAATGCTAGAAATTATTGGGAATATTGTACATGAACAAGATATATCTTTTTAGAATCATACATTATGTGGCCATAGGGTCAGTGTCTCTTTGACACCACATCAGGATGTGACACCACTGAGTCTCACAGGACTCGGAAATCTCGACTTTACGTCATGCGAGTGGTTGAATTTGATATTGTGGAAATTTTGTAAGTTTTAATTGTATTTTAACACTAAAAAATTAATTTTTATTAGATATGTATTAGTTTGCTTTAACATATAAGGTGACACAGACCACCCCCTACCTCCTTTCACAATGAAGGTAAGTGTCATCAAAAATTCCAAAAAATTTTGATAAGTAAACTGGATAGACTATTGATCTCACTCAATCTATCAACTCTATCTGAGATTTGCCAGAAGTGGCTGTCTTGGTTGAAAGTCAAATTTTTTAAGTGGAATATGGTAATTGTTAATCTAGATTCAGATTGAAACAAAATTTTATTTTATTTTCATTTAAACACTTTTTCTGAAAATGTCTCCATTGACCTTAATTAAAATGATCTTGAAAATGTGATGAATTTTTCTAGGCAAAATCTTATCAGAGGCCATTTCATTGCAATATTTTTCAACTGGCAGAATTTTCAGTATCATGAAATTAAAAATTATGCTTGTGTTTACATTTTCAGTTATGCACCCATCAAAGGTGTCAGTGATCTATGTAGCCATGTCCTACGAAATTCTTTGAGCAACAAATCTTTTCTCAAGCAGCGTATATGCTTGCATTAATGAAAATCATGCTTAATTTGAACAGCAGTTAAAATTGTTGCCAAATGGTAATGCCAGAGTTTATATAAATAAAAATACTGTGTAGAACAGTAACAATTTTTGTCAGTTCAGCATCGATTGCATGTTGTTGATCTTGGCACAGTAATCACACGTTAAGAAAATATCTTATTACAAAATATTTTTCTTATTTTCACAGTATAATTTTTCTCCATGCATTACACTTTCAAAGTCATTTTATGGCCGATGCAGGCATTTTTGGGAAAAATGAGATAAAATTATCTTATTTTTTTTTTTATTTAATCTGAATCCAAATGAATAGGAAGTTAAAAATATCACCACTAGATAGAGCATATTTAATTTACTTATAAAATTTTTTGGGATTTTTGGTGAAACTCCCTCCATTTATTTCAAAAAGGGTGTATGGTGATCGCTGTCATTTTGTATATTGTATACACCTTGTTCGTCTTATTTCTTATTTATTATTGTTGTTGCTATCTGAAATTTTAAAGTTATTTAATATGGTACATTTTAAAAGTTAATTTACAATTTATAATTAAATATTTTCCTTTGGGTTTAACAAAAGAATAATTCTAATTATAGAAAATTTTAAAGTTGACATTAGAAAATATCTTGTAATACAGTTTGTTATACTCTTTTTATATCTAAAATTTGGATGCTTAACTTATCTTTTTATCATTGTAATGATGATGTGGGATTGTATATTATATGCTGAGTATATTTTTATTTCTAGATTCACACATGTTGAAGCTGAATGCCCATTTATTACATTTGATGATCTATTAGATAGACTTGAAGATTTAATTGTTGATGTGGTTGAAAGAGTTTTGGCTTCACCAGTTGGACATTTGGTGAATGAATTTAATCCTGTAAGTATATTTAAAATATTCTGTTTTATTCAGATATTTTCAAAATGAGTAACTTAATGAAGAAAAAAGAATTATAATAGTTTAGTCAGAATAGTTTATTGTATATTTAAATCCATATAATCCATTTCTGCCAGAATTTTTATAGTTGATTATTTAAGAGGCTAATTTTTTTTGTCCAATTTTATGTTACATTTATTATGCTTAGGTCAATATAAACTGATAAATGTACAAAATATTTATTTTAAGAATATTAGATAATATCTTTACATGCTGTATTTTACAGCATATGTTATGCACCCCATTTCATCACAGATTGTTAAGGAAGGAAGTATTTAGTGTATTTAAGTCATCTTGCATTTTTGGTACTTGATCCCAATTTTATTTTTTTTACAATATTCTGGTTTAAAAAATAAAATTAGAATGCTAGCTCTTGTTTTTTTCCCTGATAAATAAAAGGTCATTTTCCATTAAAATATTCTACAGGAATATGTGCAAAAGCACATGATAATTTCAGTACAATTGTATTGAAATTACTAAAATTATAATATAATTTGTCTTATAAAATGCCAAATAAGATATTATTTCTAAAATGAAACAAATTCAAATTATATTTGGATAAGACAAAGATTGATAGCAAGAGAAAGGAATTATGAATTAAATTCATCTCAACTACTACTACTAATAATGAAAATAAGGAACCACGTTTAGCAGAAAAATAGTTTGTCATCAATAAAAATTTTCAATTTATTTCATCACATATTAATATGTACCTATTTATATAGAACTTTAAAGCACCAAAGCGACCCTTCCGAAGAATGAATTACAGTGCCGCAATAGAATACCTTCGTGAGCATAACATCACAAAAGAAGATGGTAGTTATTATGAATTTGGAGAAGACATTCCTGAGATGCCAGAACGCAAAATGACTGATGAAATTAATGAGGTATTTATTAAATTTTATTTTTGTAAAATGCTGTTAAACTTTTTAATAATTAAAGATTAAATGGGAAAACAATTTCCTTTCATATGTATGCATATGTATTTAAATATAGCTAAGTCTGCCTGTAGCAAATATGAAATGGATTGAAAATGTATGTGATATTGATGCTTCATAATAAATGGTTATACATTTATAGTATTTACCGATTTGGAAGTGTATTCTGTACTGAAAGAATATACTGTGGTATTTTTCTTCAGTATAGAAATATCAATGCTAGAAATTATTGGGAATATTGTACATGAACAAGATATATCTTTTTAGAATCATACATTATGTGGCCATAGGGTCAGTGTCTCTGACACCACGTCAGGATGTGACACCACTGAGTCTCACAGGACTCGGAAATCTCGACTTTACGTCATGCGAGTGGTTGAATTTGGAGTAGAGGTGAGGAGAGAGACGAGGAAGTGACTCACTCGGATTTCATATTAGATAACAAATAACAATTTTAATAAGAACCTAAGAAAATACAGATATATTCAATAGCGAGCATGCCTAAAGTTCCCCTAATTATACTAGGCTGTTCGAGAGAGAGAGTTTACAAACGAATCGTGGATTGATAAATACCTTTCTTCCGAGTCAAAGATCTGTAGTACAAGGACACTGTCGATGGAATGTTTGATCAAATGGGTCTGGATCTTGTCTGTCAACAGGAGCACGGAGGCGTGGAGATGCAGAAGTGGAGCTGATATCCGTGAAAAGGCACGATCGTTAACACGGTTTCAGTTCGGGATTCCTGGTCATGGTATTAATCTTTGATGACGGCTTTGGAAGATGGCTGACGTTGGGTGTTTTTTTCCGTTCTCCCTTGTTATTCCTCTTGGGTTTTTCCCGAGGTCAGGAGGTTGTTGTTAAGGGTCTGGCATCCAATGTGGGCACTTTATTGAAAGTTCCGGGTGACACATCACTGACTAGCTGGATCCTCCTCAACAAGGAACCAACTCCGTAGGAAATAATTTTTATGGCTTTTAGCCTAACTTGCTAAATGCTTGAAGTTAAGAATTTCCCAATAATTAAAGTTTAAAATAACACTTTATTGAGGGTCTGTTTGTCCCTCACACATTACTTATTATCATGTATTACTTAATCAATGTCACATTAATTGCTTTTGCTATTTAAGTGTATTTGTATGTATGTGTATCCTATTTTGCATTTTCATTTGCACTAAGCAGTTAATTTCTTTTTAGTATTATACAAATGTTCCTTGACATTCATATTAAATTTGGACAACATCTTTTTGTACTGTAAAGATTGAAAAATCATCTTTTGTTGGCACTTTAACCACTTCAGTGTCATCTAAGTTATTATCTTGTATGCTGATGATATCACAGATGAATAACTTGTAGTTTCTGTCATGCTCAGCCATGGCATGACACCATACAATGTAATAATCAACTGTAATATCAGTAGATACAAACCTTCTTTGTTACAAATGACTCCAGTATTCCTTTTGTTTCCATTCCAGAATCCTGTGTATTTTCAGACATTCCTTGTTGTCCATGGCTTAATCTCAAACTAGACACTAATGCTATGGGTTGTACAGTCTCAAACTTAGAATACGGCACAAGACCCATTACCTGTCCAATTTCTTTAATGTTGGTATTGTATGCTGATGCAATTTAGAAATACGGTAGAGCATCGTTTATCCGAAAGTCAATTATCCGAAAGAATTCCAGTCGGCAAATTTGAATTTTCGCCAGTGCTGTGGCGTTGCAATCTTTGGCTATGTCTTGGGCTACTCAAATATTTTACATTTTTGATGCTAAATTAACTTCCGAAGTATAATTTTTTATTGTTTTTATATTTTTCTATATATTTTGTTTGTACAAAATAAAGAAATAATTTTTAACGATACAATAGTCTTTGTTAGGCTTAACATCGACGAAAATTCAACGCAAAGCGACATGCAACGGAGAAAAATTTCAACATGGGATGGGTTAATATATTTTTTCGTACATAATCAGTTATCCGAAATATCGATTTTCCGAACAACCCCAGTCCCCAATTGATTCGGATAAACAACGTTCTACTGTAATGATCTGTTGAAGTTTCCACCTGTGCATTCCAATTTAGAATGTTGTCCTGGAGCAGATCTTGTGTAAGATTGAAAACGTTTATTGAATTTTACATTAAATTATTTACTGGATTGTCAAGGTTTTGATTGATGTATTTAGAAATGTAAATTATAGTAATACAGTACATTTATACTGAAATTAAATTATGATTTTTGCTTATTATAAAGTAACTATTTTTAGATAGAAACTTTAACAAAAACTGAATACTCTAAGATGACACCATCAGTTTCCAGTTACCATGTTAATATTGTATTGATGTAATTTATGTATCAAAGGAAATTTTACTTTTGTAAGTAAAATAGTGTAGAAAACAATGATAAATTCTATAGATATTGATAGTAAAAAAAAAAAAAGTTGAAATTAAAGCACAACATAACTAATGTTTTTGTTATAAAATGATAAAATTATGATCATTGTGGATATTATACAATGAATTTAATTTTTACAAATACAAATGTACTTGTCAAAAGAATCTGTAAATCTTGTTTCCAGTTACTGCATCCAAATGTAGCACAAATTCTGCCAGCCATTTTTGTCAATTATTAACACACACTTGCCATATGTTCATATGGCAGCTGAAGGCTCTGAATCACTAGTCAGCTTTTCAATAGCATGTCCTGTATTGTTATTTAGCCAAGAAGACAAAAGGGACGTTCTCTTGTTTGAATTCACAGAATTTCAGTGTTTCCTGCCGGTAAATGCATTTGATTCCATTCCAACTATTATTGTAAATGTGTCTGATATTTTTGATAACAGGTTCAGAAAATTTGTTGTAAATTTGAACATTTTGGCTTAATGTTTATATTTCGAATTCTGGAAGTAAAAAAACAAATTTCATTATAATTGATGTAAAAATTCAAATGCATTTGAGCCCATTTATAGCAACATTTTCTTTCTAAAATTTTAATAATTGGAAATATTTATATCAATCTGTTTCATTTTTGGTAATATCATACCCAGTTCTTGTTTATGTTTACATATCATATTACTGAATTATTGTAATTATCAATTTTTAAAAAAATTATTTGAAGTATAATTTTAAAATTCAGTAATGCATCTCTCAATCATAAATTACCAGTTTATTGTATTGAAAACGTTCTCTTTTTTTTCCAAACTGTTGTAATTTATGGCCTCAATATAAAAATAAATTGACATTACCATTGTATTTCAGACTATTATGTTATGTCGCTTTCCTGCGGAGATAAAATCATTCTACATGCCAAGATGTAAAGAAGATAATCGGCTTACAGAATCTGTATGTATAAATATGAAAATTTATTTATTTTACTGAATATTATGCTTTGTGAAATCATCAAACTTTTAAACAATTTCTCTATTAGGTAGATGTTTTACAGCCTGGTGTCGGTGAAGTTGTAGGAGGTTCTATGAGAATTTGGAAATATGATGAATTAATGGCTGGATACAAAAGAGAAGGGATAGATCCAAAGAGTTATTATTGGTATACAGATCAAGTAAGTAATTTTAATTAATTTATATTGACAATTATATTTTTCATTTTAACAAATGATTTTAATAATACAAGATATCTTGAATAAATTGACCCAACCAATGCAATCACTTTTAATGTATTTTATTATGTTTTCTATTAACTATTCTATAAAAACTTTAAAATATTGCCATTTTGGCTTCAGATCCCTAAATTAATACAATTATTTTTAAGTTTATTCTATTCAAATGAGCATTTGTTTCTTTATATATTGCTTCATGCTAGATATTTATTGAGAATCATCTTTAATAAACACACAAATTATCTACAAAGAATTCAAATTATTTTTAATGTAGAAATTAATCAACAAATGGATTTTGATCCATCATCACGTGATAAACAAAACATTTATATTTATTTAATTAAGATATTTCTATTATCTTCTAAATTTAGAAAAAATTTAGAACACAAACTGAACAGTTGTCATACTGACAGGACAACATAATGTAAATAAATCTGTAGGCTGTCAATTGCAACTGTGCTAATATATAGAAAAACAGTCCTAAACTAATTATTGTCTTCAATTTAATCAAATTTTTAATCTAACTTTAATATGCTGATGTTGATTAAAAAGGGATGGAATGACAGCTCTAGTTAAGATACTAGTGTCTCTTATTAATATAAACACGTAAAACGGTGAAGCCATTCTTGGGACAAGACTATGTTTCAGAGAGCACGAGCAAATCTCGAACTTGTGCCTGTTTGTAGAAACAGTCTCGACATTTCGTGTTTTTCTTTTGATTCAGTTCATTTTATGTGTGCAACAGCTGTACTCCTTCATACCTCTAAGGTGTACAGCTGTTGACAGCAGTGCTATTTTAGAGACGAGACAGAGACATAGTCTCATCAAAAACATTATATATATATGTTACCAGCCAAACCCAATTTCATGCCAAACTAGTTTATCCTAAACATGTCAGGATATACTAGTTTAGCCTAGGACAATCTAGTTTGGCCTAAATACTTTAGGGTTAACTAGTTTGTCCTAGGCCGAACTGATTTATGTACTACAAATAGGTGCCAGTGTAATTTGAAATGCCACCACAGTATACCCGGTGGTTAAAGTGTACCTAGGTAACCCCAATGGTGGTGCTTCGGTTAGGCTGGTTTGGTTAGGTTAACTACATTTTTAGTAGGCATTTCCTTTTTTTTTCTTTTGTTCAAGAACTCTGTGAATTAATAACTAGTGCTGTTAAACAATGGGCGGCCTGCTGGTGGCTCCCCTCTGGGAGGAGTCCACCGGGAGCACAAACAGTCCAAAGTGCCGCCATTGAGGTTACCTAGGTACACTTAACCCACCCTGTAAAAATAAATAAAGGATTAAATATTTTATATGTTACACTAAGAAACACAAACAAGTTCATTTTAAATTTTAGTTTGACTTTAAAAGTTATTTTTATTATTTCGTTTGAATTTTTGAAAATATTTTCGATTGTTAATTACCTTTAAAAGTGCATGGCTTAATGAAAAAAATACAAGCTGATAAGTACTGATTAGCTTATTTTTATTTCATAGTTTTCTACAAGTGTTGTGCCACTTCTAATCAATACCGTTTTTTATAATTAAGTAGACTATGTTTGAATAAATATTGTTTATCTAATTGATTGCCTTTTAATTTTATTTTAACCATTAATATACTTAAATCAGGCCTGGCCAACCTGCGGGCTGCATGCGGCCTGTCACATTAAATTGTGTGGCCCGCTAAGCGATATTATATATCTATTAAAACTTTTGTTTTCCATTTTGTGTATACCAAAACAGTTAAATAAATGAAAATTTGCATGTGTCGTGTCATTGTTATAATGTGCAAGTGTGAGTACGATCTCTTGGTATAACAATGAAATCTTATTCATTTTGTATTTGTTTTACTTTTTTAAAAGCATGTTTGCCTAAATTGTGGCCCGTTGTAATGTTACACATGATCAAAGTGGCCCGTGAAACGATTTGGGTTGATCAGGCCTCACTTAAATAATAATTCTAAATCAGTTCGGCCTAGGACAAACTAGTTAAGCCAAACTAGATTGTCCTAGGATAAACTAATTTGGCCTGAAATCGGGTTTGGCTGGTAACATATATATATATAAAACATTCATTTATATATTTGAATGATGGTGATTTACTTGAATCTACTGTAAATATGAGTAATAATCTGAGCCTTGGGGTTTTCCACCGAGGCTCAGATTATTACTCTTATTTACAGTATTTTGAATATTTTATTATTTAATAAAATATTCAATTTTAGTCTTATTCAATTTTAGTCTTATATGAAAAAATATATTTTATTAAGTAAAATACAATGTGGCCAGAAATTTAAATTAATCTTTCTGAACTATTTTATTTTTTAAAAATATATGAGGATAATTTTCAATCTGTCCTGGCTTTAGTGGTGATAAACACATTCAAACAACATAATGAAATAATTCCTATAGTTGTATATTTTTATTGCCACTAAATCTGGAACAGATTGAGAATTATCCTTGTATTTTAAATTTATGCTATAAAAATTATTATTATTACGAGTAATAAAATGTTTATAGAAATTTTATAATTGTTTTCAAAAATAATAGATCTGTATTTGGTCTATTTTAAGGGAATTATACAAATTTTTAAAAAAAAGTCATTTTATACTCTAATGTAAGGATTCAACTGTCTGAAATTAACCAAACTAAAGGTTAAAAGTTAAAAAGCATAGAATCCTACAAAGACTATTCAAATACTAGATAATCAATTTTAAAAACAGTTTTTTCTAAACATTTAATACATTTTCAACCCATAGGACAGAGAAATAAGTAATTTGATCAAAGTTGTTACAATTTAACTTACAAATTGATATTAATGAATTTATTGGAGACAAACTTCTGGTTTTACTGTCTTTGTTTGTTTATACAATTATTCAATTTGTTAATTGTGTAGACATAAATATTGTAAGTGGTTCATAATTTTCTATAAGATATACAAGTACAGTTTTCTAATGACATATTAATATTGTTGGTTCTGTAATACTTAAAAATTTCAATTTGATATGAGAAATACCAATACATTTTAAAAAAAAGAGTTACAAGACTATTTGGCCATTATGAAAAAAACAAAAATTGGATTCAATTAAAGCATGAATCCCTCATATTAACACTACTATATCACATATTACTTTAAATTCCATTTCATATAAAAGATTATATGAATACTAATCATGTATGATACAAATTATTTACATTTCTATTTAATTATTCTTTAATAAAATAAAATTAGAATAACAACAAACTATTTAAATTTCAGAGAAAATTTGGAAGTTGTCCACACGGTGGATACGGACTTGGACTTGAGCGTTTCATTACTTGGCTGTTGAACCGTTATCATATCAGAGATGCCTGTCTCTATCCTCGTTTTGTTGATCGTTGTGTACCGTAATGGATTGAGTTTATTTATAAATAAGGAAATCCCAGGATGAGACCAAAATACTTATTTTATTGTTTATTCAGCGTGTGGACCATGCACTTGTTTAGAAATAAATAGTATGTCCAATGGAAATACATTATGGAATATATTTAAAGCATCAACATCTAAAACCCAAGTGATTGCCAGATTGTATTGGGTTATATTATTACTGTTAATAATAATAGTAATGAGCCTGATATAATCTGGCAACCATTTGGCTTTAGAATATATTTAATTGTTGAAGAATATCATGCAATGAATGAAGTAAATTTGCAGAAAACACTTACAATATTATCTATAAATTAGTCAATATTCAATTATCAAATTAAAAACATTCTCAAACATTTACAATATTTACACATAAGGCCAGTTCAATAGCATAGTAGTGTAGTTTTATAATTTCTGAAATAACAAATTTAATAATAATGGATTTACTTCTTATATGTTCAAACATAAAAGATATACATTACAGTAATGTAGAATGGTAACTGTGCTTTGTCATCACAGTTACCATTACTTTATTCTGAAAGTATCTCACCAATAAAAAGAAAAATGTTAAAAAATCAAACTTTCAAATAACATTTTAATTATTTTGTTGTAAAAATGTTTTAAAAATACTACTAGAATTATTATAATCTGTTGTTTTATATATTCCATTAAAAGTAAAAGATGAATATTTTATGATGTGAAAGCATTTTTATTGATTTTTTTTAATTTTAAAATGCAATTATCACAAAATAAAATTAAAACTGTCCCTGTGGCAATAGTATTTATAATGTGACAGAGAAGAGCTTCAAAATAAAGGATGACTCTATAGGTGATTGTTGTTCCAAGACACAAAAGAGATGAACATTAAGATCTTAAAATTCTAATATTCTAGACTAGTGTTCTTCAACTTGTTTCAGTGCTGGTCTGCAGAAATTTCCTGCCAGTCTGAAAAATTTCATAGACCCAGTAGGAAATTTTGTAATAACAAAAAATAAATAAAAACTGTTTAAATAAAATTACAATAGTCATGCGCATCACCTATGTCTAAGCAGTTTAACTTGTAAGTATAAGAAAATTGATGTTTAAGTCTTCTGCTGATCCACAGATGTGAAAAGATTGAAGAATGCTGTTCTAGACTATATAACAATTTTGAAGTAATCAAAATAGCCTTTCATAAAGAACAAATTATTAGTTCTGCTGATTATAGATGAAGTTTTAGTTGCTTTGATGCTCTTGTTAATTATAATTCAGCATTATGTTTTGTTAACTAAGATGTTTTTGTTAGTCATTTTTCATAAATGTTGAGAATGAGTTCAACAGATAACCTCCAGCTTGCTGATATCATTTATAAAACACTTCTCTGTTTCTGCTCACATTCTTGTTGATTAAATTATAGCAAAAAAAGTAAAAGTGAAATATTTACTTTTTCTTTGTTTTAACTCCAATTTCTGTGAAAGTGTAAAATCCAAAATATTCACCTTTTCAGTTATATTTTTAGATAATGTGGAGCCCAGACCTTCTCAGATATCTAATCTTTAGAATTTTCCCAAGGACAGTAATCCATGATGAAAATTTGAGAGTTCTAAAATTTGCAAAATGACTCAAAGACAAGAAAAAACAGGGACTGACAACCAAAGGAAATCTTAATCCATTCTGTCTTGTAGTTATGATTTTATATAATGAAAGAGAAGGCAATAGTCATATGTAAAACTTCGGTAAAAATATTTAAATTTAAAATTTTTCATTCAATTCAAATGCCTGGTAGATACAATTCACATATTTTAATCCCATTATCATTGCATAACTGATTAAACAGTAAGTTTGACATGATATTGTTATTTAATAGTAAACTACAGTTATTATTCAGTTAGTATCTTGTAGCATCCCCTGTTGCACCCATAAATACAGTCTGGTATGAACTCACAGAGATGGCTTATGCTGTCTTGTGATACAATCTTTGAAAAAAAACCTAACTTCTTTGCAGATTAACTTCTGCCATCAATGGATTTGTGCGCACCCTCTAAAGAATAAGCAAACCAAGAGAGGATGTCGACATTATGTAGGCACATCTTAGCTGTGTGTAAGTAGATATTATCCTATTGAAAAATACCCAATTGTAGATGTGCCACAAAAGACATATATAGTATAGCACAATCTCCTGAATGTATCCATTATTGCTCAATATCCCTCAATCACTAGTAATGGAGACCAACTGTAGATGGCTCCCAACATCACATTGCCATCAGCATTAACAGTATGATACTCAAAATGATTTTGATTTCGTTCAAATAATTTAATACCTTATCATCCTTTTTTCAATCAGCTTCTTTACATTTATTCTTATTAAAGCATACTCGTTTGATTTCTTTATGCGTTCCGAAGGTTTACACCTGGAGTAACATTATTTAAACATTACAAAACATAAGTATGCTTACTACATGGAACCAAAATGGTTCACTGTCCCTGATATGTGATCTCAAAATCTATATTATATAAATTAAACTATATGTTTAGATCTCTTGAATTGACAGATTCACAATATTAGGCATTTTTCCACGATGCAGCAACAAATTGATTAGTCTCTAATAAATAAAACTAACAATCAGACTTGAAAATTAATTGAAATAAACTAGAATTAGATGATGATAATAAAAATCTCTTTTGGTATTTTTAATACATTACAACCTAAATTGTCTTACCCATGTAAATCTGACAATTTTGTACACGAAGTCGTACAGGGTTAAATTTCTTATATCTGACAATGGTATCTATATGACTAACAACTGTTCATTTTATATGGCTCCAAATCCTCAGAAAAAATTGGGTTCTTAATTAATATTGTCTTTTCTAAAATTTTTTGCAATTAATATTTATATTGATCAAGAGGAGGTCGACTAAATATGCTTTGAATCATACTTAGTTAATTTGATTAATAACACAGATGTAGCATTGTCATAGTGTCTGTTCATATCACTGGATCCTATCGATGCTAAGTGTGCTGCTTGCACTTAAAGATTCTGTTACAGAAGAGAAGTTAATCTCTGAATATGTTGTTTAAGTTGTATAGCTAATTTTCAAGCCATGTGTAACTCAACTATGCTTTTGGCTATCTTTGATACAGATATTGCCATTCAGAATTATAAATGATATTTCAAAATTTTTTAAAGTTTTTTTTCTGATGATGTGAATAAAATTATTTTATTAATACAAATATTTTCTAAACTAAAAAAATTATACATGTTCAGGAAATATGGAATTTTTCCTAGTAAGGGAGAACCCATGTATAAAATATCATGGAATTTTTAAACAGCCAGGAAGACTGACTTCTGGAAATTGATAGAAAGCAGATTTCCAGAAAAATGAAAGCATGAAGGAAATTTTAAAGTTAAAAATGTGTAAGAATATCTCAACTCCATCTAAACATCATACAACAAAAAAATGCTAATTTTTTCTAGGAGTCCTTAGCATAAGTAAGTTCTAACGTGATAAAACATTTTTGAGATTTTGATCATGTCATATTTGGATCCAATTTAACTATTTCAAAATTTAAACATGTGTTCTAATTAGTATTTTATGACCATTTTCTTTTATTACTGGCTCAAATGTTTTCAAAGATTTTTTTAAAAAGGTGCACACACACACACATTCAAAAGAACCTTATGTTAAACATGGATACAGAGAAGTATGTTAATTTTTTAAAATTTAATTACATTAAATGTAAAATTAAAGTATTTTTCAACTCATTTTGGTTATATTACAAGATTAGGATCAAGTTTATGAGAAATTTCATTTTCACTATTCTATTTATCCGATATCTAATAAAATTCAATAATGATTTTAATAACTTTTTTTTTAACTAAATAAATCTTTAAATAATATGGACATATATACAGTCAAATCTGGATTTAGCATCCTGTTTGATCACCTCTGAAATTGATACTAAATTGAGTGTGGCACTAAATCAAACAAGAATTAGATGTTGTGTGTATAGACCTTGATACAACATACGAGTTTGGGAATGTGATCTGGTGATAACAATGTTTTCAAGGCAAAAGTATGAATTTACTAATTCACAGCTATTGAAGGATTTTCCTATTTATTGGACCCAATCCAAATTGCAGACCTATAAATTCCTATTGGCATTTGGCTGTCTGTCCTTCCTTAATTTGAAGTCAACAGTTAGATTACTCATAACAATGTGTTTAGGGGCAGGAGCCCTTGATTAATTTTGGAATATCTGGAAGTAATGTTATTTCTATTCAAAAATTTTTGAAGAGAAGAGGCTATAGAAGAGCTTTTGAAGAGAAGAGGCTATAGAAGAGCTTTTGAAGAGAAGAGGCTATAGAAGAGCATATATGTTAGCAAAGCCTCTTCTATACATCCTCTTTTATATCTTACATAATTGTGATTGTTCTCAAAATCTGTTCATTCAATTTTGATTAAATTTTGCCATTTTCCATTAATTGTGACAAGGAATCCAAAAATGTAATAAAAAATGGGGACGCATGACTTTTGTTTTTGAGATATAAGAGCATAGCATGAGTGCGTGTGACAAAGTGATGTTCCACAGTTGCCAGCACATCATCTATGGGCATTGCTATAGAATTGAGTTTGTTCTCAAAATTTAATAGGCCAATTTTGATAAAACTTTGCCATTTTCCATTAATTGAGGTGGAGAATTCAAAATATAATGAGGGTCCATGACTTCATTTTCAATATACAGAGGTATTAAAGTGACAATATGTCTGTGCTCTCTCATGCAATTGAGCACACCTAATGGAATTTAGGCCTAAGGGTCAAAAAATAAAATGGAATGGAACAGAACATGTGCACCTAATGGAAGACAGGAGCAAAAAACAAACAAAACATAAGAACAAAGCAAGCTATGGCAATTGCTTTGTTTTTGTGTTGCAATATGACAGTTGCACAATGTCCTAGTTTAAATTAAATAAATTAAAAATTGGCTAAAAATTGCAGCCCAGCATTGTGGAAATGTCAAAATAATTTTTGTTTGTTTGTTTATAGGGAAGATTCTTTCCAAAGTATTCATTGGTGCTATATCAAAGTTTGACTGTAGTTACATTTAGAAGTTATTCAATAGAAGCAGCCCTTCAGTATTTTATTTCAAAGAAATGAACAAAAACTATATTTTATTATAAAATTTAATGAGAGAAAAGTAATTTGTTAAGTAAGGTAACATTTTTTTTTGTTTGAATCTTATCTGAATGTAAATATAGTTTTAATTATTTTAGAATATAATACAATTAGAGAAATTAAAATTCATAATAATAATATAATTCAGAATTTTGATTGCTAGAACTTTTAGTGTCTTTTATTTATTTATTAATATGAACATTATTAGACACAGTTTAATTTATTAAAAAGATTTTTGGAAAAGTTTCGTGCCATATGAAACAAAGGGCTAACACAAAACATGGGTTATGTTTCAGAAGTTAGTAATGAAAAAAATAGCATAATTTTGCTAAGAATAATATGCATATTAAAGCAATTGATAATTTATTTCCAATTAATAATTAATTACCAATCACAATTAAAAGTACTGTATTATATGTTAATATTAATTTTAGCTAAATGAGGACATTTTCTTTTTACAAAGTACAAGGTAGCCCAATAACTCAATCCATATTAACTCATTTAAAATTAAAATTTAAAAAAATTTTTTTAAAGTAGGCAAATTTATAAAATAAATATTAATGAAATTACTAAAAGATTAAAATCAATTTAAATTTGATTATCTTTTGTGTGAAACAATGCTGCTGAAACAATTTTAATAGTTATATCAGAAAAGAAAAAAAAATGCAATTAATTAAAAAAGTCATAATTAAAGATTCAAAAAATGGCAAAATGAAATTAGTAGTAATAAATTAATAACTATTAAAAATTGAATAGTATTTTTTATTATATTTTGTTAAAAACAGTTATTTTCTTATATGTGTTGTCAGTATTCTTCCATGCATTTATACATTATTTATTTTCAATTACAATAAGAAAAGTCTTGCAACAATACATTTATTCTCCCTAATTAACAGTATTAAGATGTTAATAGTATATAAGTATAATTAATAGTTATGGAAACAGACTGCTATGACTTTAGGAAAGGAAGATTGTTTTAATATTGGCAAGCTTTAAACTGTTTTGTAACATATATGTAAATAACGTTAGAAACTAAATTACTATGGCAGACTTTATATCGTATAAATTCAGAAAAACCTACAGATGTTCCAATTGAGACTATCAAATGGTAAATCTGAGTTTGTCTTATAACCAAATCTATTTTAATCAGGAGTTCAGTTGACAAAAATTTTTATTTACTATATATTTCAGGATTAAAACATCCCCTCTTCAGGCTACAAATACATAAAATATATCTGACATCAGTAGTTTTAAAATGAAAAAAAAAATAAAACAAAATAAATATTAAAATACCAACCTGAAAAACTCCAGTTTTTATACAAACATCTCTCAGTAACATCACAATATTCAGCTCAAAGCATTTTTTTTGGAAAATTCCTTGTTTTAAAAATTCAAGAACATAAAAAAATAAAATAAAATAATTCAACCAAATGCAAAAAAATAAAATAATTCAACCAAATGCAAAAATAAATAAAATAAAATTAAGAACTGTTTAAAAGAAGTAAATTGATACCTAAAACTGCAATAAAATACATACAATTTTGATTACTCATAAATCTTATAATCCTCCTGATGATGATAATGCTAAAGATGTTAAAAAGAACTTCCTATGAATACAATTAACATCTTTTTGATCACATTTTCTTATAATCAGGGCCAGTGCTACCTCACTGGCAAAATTTACCACCCTGGTCATATGTCCAGGATGGCAAATTTCATAAATTTTTAAGTGAAAACTATCATAGTAATGTAAGTGAAATTAAACTATTTTAAATAAAATTTAAAAATTTCTTCCCACTTCTAATAGATATGGCATTTTAAAACAATTTTTCTTTCATTTTATATAGGGGATATGGATTGTCAAATGCTTGTCTTGCCCTGTGTGGCATAAACTCTATCGCCGGCTCTGCTTACAGTTAAGCAGCTGACATTGCCAAAAGCCATTTACCTCAATACCTTTATTTAAATTAATCAACTTCGACAAATGTAATACTTCAATAGGTTCCTTAAAATATTTTTTATGTAGGTTTTTCTCAAAATGTAATATCTTAACATTATTTTTACTTATATAACCATATTCTTTGCAATGCAAAAACTAAGGAGAATGTCTCTAACCTAATCTGATGTCATGTTCCTTCCATCTCATTTAACTTCTTCCTCATTTCACCAGCAACTTAGTTTATACACCACTCCTGACATTTCTAAAACTTTCTTCTTATCTAGTGATGGTTTATGTGTTTAATTTTAATTCCCATTTCTGGTATTATCTAAGCTTTACATTTTTTAACCACATTACAGTAAACCTTGATTTAATAGACTAATTTTGGCAAGGTGGAGTCCATTAAAGCTGAGAATTCATTATATAATAATAATAAACTTTATTTTACGTATTTTGTACAAGAGGAATGGGAGCATATGTATCTACATTTGTTTAATTGAAATTATGTATGAAAAGTTTAATTTCACAGAAAAAATTTTCTCTATATATTATTGCTTATGTAATTTCTAAAGTTCTGAGATACTAAACAGTATATAATCTAAATTGAAATAAACAAGCAAGCATTTTTTGGAAAGTACATTAATTATATTTAACTAAACAAATAAATAATTTTCTTAAAAAGAAAACAAAATTTGAATTTGACAAGAAATTTTTTTGTGTTATTTATTTCTTCCTCTTTGGATGATGATGATATCAAGATTCCCATTGTGACATGAAGTTAAGAGCAATGATTCTTGGATTTGAAAAATAACCTGTTAATTATTTATTTTGCTCATTATTTGTTTGTTTGTCTACTAACTTTTATTTAAGTTAGCAGAATATATAATTAAAAACACCAGGGCTGTGGAGTCGGAGTCGTGGAGTTTTGATGTTTTAGCCGGAGTCGGAGTCGGATGGTAAGAAAAAGTCGGAGTTGTAGTTGGTAGATTTTTACGTGACTTCCACAGCCCTGGCAGGGCTGTTGAGTCGGAGTCGGAGTCATGGAGTTTTGGTGTTTTAGTCAGAGTCGGATGATAAGGAAAAGTCGGAGTTGGAGTCGGTAGATTTTTACGCGACTCCACAGCCTTGAAAAACACTAAACCTGTACCAGCAATTTTTATAAAAATGACAAACGTTTTTGCCCACGGGTAAAAACATTTGCACTTTTTATAAAAGTTGCTGGTTTATGGGTTTAGTGTTTTTAATTCTAATTTTACCAGTTTTAACTAAGTGGCAGTTCTTTAGAATGTATAATTTTTTTAAAAATAATGAAGCACTCAATTTTTAAGCACGTAAATATCATTTAATTTTCAACTTGATTCCAATTCATTCTGCCAACTTTTGTCTGCCAGCTTAATGGGGGTCATATTTGATGAAGTATTTAAATTTTGACTTTGAAATATTTTATATTTGTAAAATAAAAAAAAACTGAAAATAGAATGTTGGTAATGTTATAAATGAAACTTATACAAATAAACAAAATACTGTATTTATAGTAAATTTTATTGTTTAGGAATAACAATACAATGGAACCTAGTTAACTCAAAGTAGCATTTACTTGAAGTCGTTTTCTTTCCCTGTTCATCTAGCATAGGGGTTTAAATGTTAAATCAAATTGGTTAATTTGAATTCATTGAACTGTTTAATTCAAATGGGGTTTTGATACAGTATTTTCATAAACCCTCCAGAATTTTAATTTAAATAAAATAATTAACATTCATTTGTTAAATAAACTAATCAGAAACTTTCTATAAAGTGTGGGAACAACATATGACTAAAAATAACATTATGTCATGTAATGGTAGGCAAGGAGTGGTGTTTCAGTTGTTATATTACATATCAGCTATCAGTTCTCCCACAAGGTTTAGCAACTTTTTTTGTTTTATTTGATTGCTAATGGATTTCTCTGACTAGCTGACATAATAAATACATGAATTTTTGATAAATTACTTTAAAAAAAAGATTATAATCCAATTATGTGTAAAAACTTTAACCTTTGAGGCAAAATATTAAAAATATAACAATTATAAAGAGTATTATGTTTATGATAAATAAAAAACAGATCAATTCGGCACAATTCTAGGCATGAAATATCATAATTTAAAAAATCCTTTACTAAACACTTAGGAGAAAACAGATCAACCCTTCAGGAAAGCATTTCTCAGTAGCTTATTTAACCATTCGGTTAAGTGTTTTCAAGTTTCTGGGCAACATTGGACTTATTACTTACACTGACGATTCTAAGTAATAAGATACAAGAAAATATCATATGGCTAATTTATTATGATTCACTGATAAACCAATGCATAAAATCTTGATTGTTAGCTGAACCTCCATAACTTGAAACTTTTTAACTCAAAGTCCAAATTTTTTTTCCCAGACAGATTCAAGTTAACTAGATTCCACTGCATATTGTAATGCTCTGTTATGCAGAAATATTACAAAATAATTGAGCTTGCTGGTAATTTTCTAATCTAAAATACCCTAATTCAAATTTGATTTAGGTTAAAATATATTAAATTTTTAATCATAAATTAATTAGTCAGTCATTATTAAAAATAAATTTTAAGAGAGAATGAATTATATTGTTAATTATCGATAATTCTCGATGGTTGGTATCAAGTATAGGGTAATAAAATAGTTATATAGTAGAGCATCGATTATCTGACTCAATTGGGGACAGGTTGGTTGGATAACTGAAAAAATCGGATAACCAAAAATAATGAAAAAAAATACATTATTAGTATATTAGGATATCCCATGTAATTAGTATATCGCTATTAACCAACTTCGCATTGAATTTTCATCAATGTTTAGCCTAACAAATTTTTTAAAAATAATAATCGTCGCTATTGTATCGTTAAAAATTATTTTTAAATTATTTTATTGCTCACAAAACAAAAAACCACTCATAATTAGAAAATTAAGTCTCTAATTAAATACTGGCCTCCCTTCAATGGTCGAGCTGTGTTGCCAGCTAAAACACACAAAAATTTAACAAAAATAATATTAAAATATCCAAGACATAGCCAAATATTGTAGCGCCACATCACTAGCGGACATTTGAAATCTGCCGACTAGAACGGTCGGTTAACCGATGTGACAGTTAATCAAGGGTTGGATAATCGATGTTCTACTGTATTTGTCATTAGAAAGATTAATTGGTTAATTTTCTGTTTCATTGTAAGGAAAGAAAAGAGAAACTGTAAATAGTATGATACAGAATTGTCTAAAAAATATCTTTATTAAATAACAAATTTTATTTAGTAATTTGATTTTACTATGTATTTAATAAATTAATAATACAATCAGTATAATTTTGATATGTTTATGGAACTATATTATTTGTTTTTGTTAAAAAAATATACTGGTGTGTGTGTATATATATATATATTATGTTGACTAGAAAATATCAGATCAATTGTGAAATATTTATCCAATATTTACAGAAAGACCAAGAATATAAGAGAATAATGCAGGAAAAAAAAGTTAAAATCCATGTCAAATAGATCATGTGGTAATGTAAAACATAATGAGTTTTAGAGAATGAAATTCATAAATAGAATTCGTACTTTGCTTTTTTATGTATTTGCATTGTTTCTTCCTTTTTTATCTTATCTACTTCTTTCATGTATGTATGTGCATGCATATATATACACTGTAAAACCTGTTTAAATGAAATAACACTGTACTGAATATTTTTCCAGTTTGGCAGGTTTCCGTTTTGGACAGGTTTTATACTATATATAGAAATAAACAAGCAAGCATTTTTTGGAAAGTACATTAATTATATTTAACTAAACAAATAAATAATTTTCTTAAAAAGAAAACAAAATTTGAATTTGACAAGAAATTTTTTTGTGTTATTTATTTCTTCCTCTTTGGATGATGATGATATCAAGATTCCCATTGTGACATGAAGTTAAGAGCAATGATTCTTGGATTTGAAAAATAACCTGTTAATTATTTATTTTGCTCATTATTTGTTTGTTTGTCTACTAACTTTTATTTAAGTTAGCAGAATATATAATTAAAAACACCAGGGCTGTGGAGTCGGAGTCGAGGAGTTTTGGTGTTTTAGCTGGAGTTGGAGTCGGATTGGTAAGGAAAAGTCGGAGTTGGAGTCGGTAGATTTTTACGTGACTCCAGCGACTCCACAGCCCTGTTTATAATAGATTTCTTTCTTGTTAATTTAAATTGAAATATTTATCAGAATTATAAAATTATTATTTCTTGACACAATCTCTCTAATAGAGTTGTGCAATTTGAAATTTTTTATTCAATAGCATTATTTTGGTTTATATATAAGGCAAAACAAACACCTCTTGATATGAAATCATTTAAATACATTTAAAGCGCATTTTTTGTGTGCTAAAACAAATAAATTTATTAGATCTAG